CCGGTTTCCAGGGTATAAAACCTGTGTCCTGTGGATTGTGGACTTTTAGAAATGTTTCAGAGTGGATATGTGGCTTCAACAACCTCCACAGTCTAGATCTTAGTTGTGTTATAATAACGTCACTAGTGATAACGTGAGCAGTGAAATCATTCTGCTATGACTTAATGCAAGGTACTATGTGTGAACTGTGAATAGACAAAAGATCTTTCAAAATTTTAACACATAACGCAACAGATACTCACAAAAACTAAAGTAAAGACGATATATAATAGAGATGCAACGAGTGAGGGTTACTGATACAATGTATTGCACTATGTATAGATACAGTAAACACTACATGTATACACTATGTATAGATACAGTATACACTACATGTATACACTATGTATAGATACAGTATACAAGTATATTATACTGTGGTACAATTGAAGGGGCAGAACGTTAAGAGCTATACTGTAAATATTTACACAACTCTGACCACAGGACCACTATCTGGCAATAAAGGAGGCTCCCTTGTAGAAGTACCAGAGCTCTGGAGCTCTGGTACTTCTGAGTAATTCAACAATATTTAATGTCGTTATGTCATTCTAAACGTGATGTAACTGTTGTCACATGTGTGTCACGGTACACTGCTGAAATTTAAAACCGATCTCGTGAAACTAGCTGAGCGTATTCTAAAACTGTGGCCAAAACTTAATGATATTATTTACAATTTCGTGGAAATTATAAACTTATTGGCGGCCTATCGTGTGTTTATTATTATTGATTTGAAGAGGTTGCCCAACTCCTTATTCCTAACAAGTGCTGAATTAACTAACATGACAGTATATCCAGCTTGGGAGATGAAGTAGAAATACGTGAACCGTACTAGCTGCCATGTAATTAGCGATTAGCACATCTCATTTGTCACTCTGTACACATTTGTCACATAAATTAGGAGAACTAATATTAATAAGGACAAGTTCAGGACCTCTCTCATTGGAGATACACAGTTTTATTATAACATGATTGGTGACATATTATTATTAACACGTGAACATATAAGAGAGGGGGTGTTCGAGAACTGGGAAGAAGCTTAATGGTTGACTCAAGAGTGACAACCAGCGAGGAATTGAAAGTCAACCAGCGTGCACGTGCACCAGAAAATAAAATCCAACACAAGTAAAGTGCACGTGCACAGACAATCTGTAATCCAGCACAAGCAAAAGTGTACGTGCACAGACAACCTGTATCCATCACAAGTAAAAGTGCACAGACAACCTGTATCCAACACAAGTAAAAGTGCACGTGCACAGAAAACCTGTATCCAACAAAAGTAAAAGTGCACGTGCACAGACAACCTGTATCCAATTCAACACAAGTAAAAGTGCACGTGCACAGACAACCTGTATCCAACACGAGTAAAGGTGCACGTGCATAGACAACCTGTATCCAACACAAGTAAAAGTGCACGTGCACAGACAGCCTGTATCCAACACAAGTAAAAGTGCACGTGCACAGACAACCTGTATCCAACACAAGTAAAAGTGCACGCGCACAGACAATCTGTAATCCAGCACAAGTAAAAGTGCACGTGCACAGACAACCTGTATCCAACAAAAGTAAAAATGCACGTGCACAGACAATCTGTAATCCAGCACAAGTAAAAGTGCACGTGCACAGACAACCTGTAATCCAGCACAAGTAAAAATGCACGTGCACAGACAACCTGTAATCCAGCACAAGTAAAAGTGCACGTGCACAGACAACCTGTATCCAACACAAGTAAAAGTGCACGTGCACAGACAACCTGTAATCCAACACAAGTAAAAGTGCACGTGCACAGACAACCTGTAATCCAGCACAAGTAAAAGTGCACGTGCACAGACAACCTGTAATCCAGCACAAGTAAAAGTGCACGTGCACAGACAACCTGTAATCCAGCACAAGTAAAAGTGCACGTGCACAGACAACCTGTAATCCAGCACAAGTAAAAGTGCACGTGCACAGACAACCTGTAATCCAGCACAAGTAAAAGTGCACGTGCACAGACAACCTGTAATCCAGCACAAGTAAAAGTGCACGTGCACAGACAACCTGTATCCATCACAAGTAAAAGTGCACGTGCACAAACAACCTGTAATCCAGCACAAGTAAAAGTGCACGTGCACAGACAACCTGTAATCCAGCACAAGTAAAAGTGCACGTGCACAGACAACCTGTAATCCAGCACAAGTAAAAGTGCACGTGCACAGACAACCTGTATCCATCACAAGTAAAAGTGCACGTGCACAAACAACCTGTAATCCAGCACAAGTAAAAGTGCACGTGCACAGACAACCTGTATCCATCACAAGTAAAAGTGCACGTGCACAAACAACCTGTAATCCAGCACAAGTAAAAGTGCACGTGCACAGACAACCTGTAATCCAGCACAATATAGTAAACTCACTCTGATCCCGGGTGTCAGACAGAAAAGTAGCAGATCATAAGCTAAACTATATTGATATTGCTGGACTGTGTTCGGGACAGTAGAATGTAGGCTCACATAATATAATATAATGTCACATAATCTCACGCTATTAGATCATGAGGTGTAACAGAGCAAACTCCTGCTAGTGCCCTGGTATCCACTTTAAAGGGGATATTCACCCCCACTGGTCCCCAAATTCTGCACCTCTAAACTCTGTGGAATGTTAACCACACCTATCAGACTGCAAACCTTGCTGGGAAATATACACACTGGAAGTGCACATTTAACGGGTTTAAGGTAAGGTTATCAAATTATTCACTTGAGCGCAGAAAAGGTGGCGTGAAGCTAATAAAAGCTCGGGGATAGAGTGTCATAACAACCCACGGACATTGAGCAGGTCGTGCTGTATCTGGGATGGAACCATGCGTTTGTTAGCGAGTACGAATGGTAACTCTATAATAACGGTTACAGATGGGGGATGGAGCACTGTCTACTTGACACGTTACCAGAGCCTAGCTTATTATTGCACTTCCAGCTAGCTTATTATTGCACTTCCAGCTAGCTTATTATTGCACTTCCAGCTAGCTTCTTATTGTACTACTAGCTAGCTTATTATTGCACTTCCAGCTAGCTTATTATTGCTTTTCTTCAAGAACTGTTAACGTCAACACCAGTAAAGCTGAATTATGTCATAATACTATAAAGATATGATCTGGTGGGAACCTAACATTAGAAAATATCATTACACTTAAATGTACAGTAACTGCCGATAGAATAAGATACTTAGCCCGGAGTTCTACAGGTGGAAATTAAATCTTAGTTACGTCATGGCCTGTATGGACTATAGTCCGAGTCCTGTAATTAGCACTGTAGATCGGGTTCCAGCGGGGAATGAGATAACCAATATGTTGAAACAGATCTCGTGTTGTGAAATAACTGAAGGAGCATGTCAGCTGTAGGAAGCTAAATGAGAGGAACTCTTTAGGAAACCAGCACAGCAACAAATACAGAGGTCACACGACGCAATTTCAACTGTCACCTCAATTAAAGATAGAGAGAATGAAAAGCGGTATCAACATCACGAGAACACGACGTGATTATTTTAACAACTATTTTGCAACACTTTAGTGAACTAAATTATAGTATATTTAACAGAGAAGAACTGTGATGATGTAGCCTCAAGCTGGGTAAAGTTGGAGATTGGAGATCATACGAATAGTTGGGAATCGCATTTGCACTAAAATGAACAATGTATGCAATTGCAAACAGAGATTGGAGGTTGAATATAAATAATGCAATTGAAAATTATAGACAGCACCTTTCTTATGCGGACAAGTATCTAGATGAAGATTGTTCAACGGCTGGAACTAAACTAACTTGCTTACTTACGAAGTGAACACTTACGCAGTGTTCACTTACGCAGTGTTCACTTCGGTCATGTCACAACTCTATAGTGTGTTGTCATTGAATTGGACAGCATCTCAACTCCTTATTGGTAGTTGACTGTTTCTGCTAGGAGTGGTGTCGTAGCCGGGGCCAATTATTAATTAGATTGCTTGATCTACGTGCCAGACTGACAGTTATGCTGTTAAAGTTGGTTAATGGTCAGGGTTCAGCAGAACTCACTGCTCCGGGCTCCACTGTTGTGGCGTTCTCTTGTTGATGTTCCTAGAAGGCAAACAACTATCTTTTTCAATTTTAACGAAACCATGATCATGAAAATATGAGAGTACGTGTGCACAACCACGTGGATTTGAAAATTTACAGAATCCTTAATCCACCAAAATTCATTTCGCGCGTTCCATAAGGTTTTCTCTCGTATTCCGCCATCATTTCATCAACTAAATTAGGACAAGGTATCTAGCCAAAAACTAAAAACATTGTGGTAAACAATTTACTAATAGTTTACGCAGACAGAACTGGTAACAAATGTCAGTTTTCATTACATTTACCATTCCGATAGTATATACCGAGATACAAATACATTAATCAGTTCAATGAGCCTGCTACTAATGACATTATAATGTACAGCTGCAGATAAAGATATGTACTCTGCAAATACTGTCACTCTTGCAGTTTTCAATACGTAATCGGAAACGAACTGGGAACTTGACCGTATTACCAATATTATAAAATCTGGTAAATTAAACAGAGCATATGTAAATCTTCGATTGATTATACGTGAAAGTACAGATAAGATGTTGAAGATGTATACACGATTACTATATCATGAATTATAAGCATTTAAAGTTGAACTGAAAACTAGTAACGTGTAAAGAAATGAGATGCGATAAAGAAAGAAAAAAACACATCAAAATATGTTAGCTCTGAAAATGCAATATAATGTGGTGTGATGATATGTAGGAAGCCCGATAATAAAGCACTAAAACCTCGTTAACCTGGGGAAGAGAAACAAACTAACCATGATGTGTTTAGCAGGCTTGTCACACCACGTGACATGACGTCACACCACGTGACATGACGTCACACCACGTGACATGACGTCACACCACGTGTTAACATGGAGAAGAGAACCAAACAAACTAACCATGATGTGTTTAGCAGGCTTATCAAGCGCCCCCGCAGAACAAGTCTCCTTCATCAATCTAATCAGCTCCAGCATTGTCTCACTTTGCCTCACTATTTCGCTAGATTGGTGGAGCACTCCGCTCTTCAGGGACTGGAACTCGTTGTAAGTGGCAGCAGTAGCTTTAGCCTGGGTTAGTGTAATGTTAGTATAGTTTATAAATAGTACAACTGGAGTTATTGGTAAATCCTTTAAAATACAGTTAAAGTGCCTTTAACCCTAACTAATAACCCTAACTAATAACCCTAACTAATAACCCTAACTAATAACCCTGACGTATAACTGAGAACTGGAGCCTATAATTGTACAGCCTAAAGTACCTCTGACCCTAACAGATAATCAGATAATAAGAGCCTACGATCTGGAGGTGTTTAAAACAACACTCATCATTTTATCACCACTCAATAAAGGTAACCATGACTACTAATATACTTTTCATCACAGCGACCTCAGGACTCTTCTAGAGTTCACTCCTATTTCAGGATAAGTCTGAATATTCAACAAACACAGCTTCTCTTAGAGGTAATGTCACTAGTAGAAACTAGTTTATTACTAAGTGAATAACGCAGCACTGGTCTTACCTTGTGCACCTTGATGAGTTGTCGTAGTGATCTGATGTTAGTGTCTACATCTCTTATCTGTGTATAAAGGTGCGTGGTGAACAGTAGATACTGCTCACATTGCTGCTTCTGTAAATAAAGGGGGGTGTTAAGTTAGGGGGGGGGGGGGCTATATTACTTAGCTACGGAGATGGTAAAGGACTGTGCTGAAAGCTAGAAAGTATATTATACTGTACTACTATTATAGTTTAATGCGGAGATATAAACAGATTCCCCCAGCTTTTACCGATTATACTGTACTATTACTGTACTATTGAGCAACATGTCGCCTATAATGGAGTTGACACATAATATAGATCTTATTTACATGAAAAGTGCGTGAGTTGGGGTGTCTACTGTCTTTAGTGCTACGTTTAGTAACGGCACTACTTTGTACAGATAGTATTGGGGGATTAATATAGCAGGATCCGTTACACCACATCTTTAAATTCTTTATATTTCAACTAAGATTTACCAGGCAGTATGGTAATAATACGGTTGCTAGGGGACTGATTGTGCTTGCTATGGTGGCCGTGGCCATGATGGTAACGTACGAAATTCAGAAGTCCCATTAAACCCTATTACATTTACTAGACCGAGGTTCGGAACATGCTAACGATGCCGACCAGGAGCAATATTGAAATTATAGCGTTTAAAGCTAAGTTAAGGGAATCCATCTGACCACAACTTCTACCAGACCAATGTATCTGACCACAACTTCTACCAGACCAATGTATCTGACCACAACTTCTACCAGACCAATGTATCTGACCACAACTTCTACCAGACCAATGTATCTGACCACAACTTCTACCAGACCAATGTATCTGACCACAACTTCTACCAGACCAATGTATCTGACCACAACTTCTACCAGACCAATGTATCTGACCACAACTTCTACCAGACCAATGTATCTGACCACAACTTCTACCAGACCAATGTATCTGACCACAAATTCTACCAGACCAATATATCTGACCACAACTTCTACCAGACCAATGTATCTGACCACAACTTCTACCAGACCAATGTATCTGACCACAACTTCTACCAGACCAATGTATCTGACCACAACTTCTACCAGACCAATGTATCTGACCACAACTTCTACCAGACCAATGTATCTGACCACAACTTCTACCAGACCAATGTATCTGACCACAACTTCTACCAGACCAATGTATCTGACCACAACTTCTACCAGACCAATGTATCTGACCACAACTTCTACCAGACCAATGTATCTGACCACAACTTCTACCAGACCAATGTATCTGACCACAACTTCTACCAGACCAATGTATCTGACCACAACTTCTACCAGACCAATGTATCTGACCACAACTTCTACCAGACCAATGTAACTGACCACAACTTCTACCAGACCAATGTATCTGACCACAACTTCTACCAGACCAATGTATCTGACCACAACTTCTACCAGACCAATGTATCTGACCACAACTTCTACCAGACCAATGTATCTGACCACAACTTCTACCAGACCAATGTATCTGACCACAACTTCTACCAGACCAATGTATCGCACCTACCGAGCGGTTTAATTGAAGTGGCCAGCTTGCACATTGTATGCAAACAATAGAAGCAATAAGACACAGTAATATACTGAAGTAGTAGTACCACTGTAATAATACTGAGCACTAATACTTGACTACTACTATTGCAGGACTCCAGGAGTCACCCTCTCGTGATCAGGTCACAAAACACTTAGTTTGCAGGTTGCTATTACATTGCTATTACAATGCTACCTGCATTGCTATTAACAACTGTTACCTTTACAGAAGTAAACTATAATAACAAGGGACCATTTTGAGGGCTTGTGTAATATCTTATCTTATTCCTGGTAAGGACTAGACAAATATGAAGCCCTGATTTCTACACCACAAAACAGATGTTCAGGCAGCACAAGATGACACTAAAGTTCACTTTTATCTCTTGTCAAAAAGCACCACACTCAGTGACTAGTAGTATTGACCACACTCTGTCACTATTTACTGTCTATTAAAACCACTCTACCTCTCACCACTTATAATGTAGAGTGCTGATATAGGGACATGATAAACACGTGGGTATACACTACAACTACAATGAGAGTATGTAACCAGCTGTTACGTCTCACCATCTTCTATTCCACCACTTATTACTTGATTAGAAGACACACAAGTGTACACACTGAAACTGTATCTGATAAAACTCTCTGAAATTGAGCTGCAATTATATAAGACACAGTAAACACACTCTTTATGCGGAGACACTTTTTGCCGAAAGAGTATAATAATATATTGTTGTAATAATATGAAAGTTTTATGCGTATTATTTGTAATAATATGAAAGTTTTGTGCGTATTATTTGACGGGTCGCTAACTAGCATGCAGCTTGTGATATTGATATTAAGTAAGCGAGTACACACAGTAGTAGGATTGCTTGTCAGTTGTAAAGAATAGTGTAATACAGGGCCAGATACTGTATTACTGTGCTGCACGCCAATATCTGATCTAATACTAGTAATACTCTGATTTAATACTGTTTTTAACCCTCTTATAATACTTTCAACACTATATAACAAATAATTTGAGAATTTAAGTATGACGTAGAAATGGAGATACGTGATTTATTTATTTATCATTAGAACATTGTCATCACTGAGTCTATTCAGAAAAAAACAGAAGTTTTCTTGAAAGAATCTTCAGATATTTGATAAACACTGAACAAGAGGTTGAAAGTAGTCTTCTTCAGATCTTTAACTTTCCCCAAAAAGTGCACGTTATTTTAATAGAATCAACAACTTAGACAGCTAACGACTAAATCTAAATATCTTACTTAATGTTTTTTCACCACCTAACTATTTATCCGATAGACACCAAAAAAAAATAGACACCAAAAATTAGATTACTGCACGGCTTATGAACCATTTAAATATACCCAATATAAGGTAAGACTATCACGTAAGAACCGGAAGGAGGCGGGGTAGTGGGGGGTGCAGTAGTGGGGGTAGTGGGGGGTAGTGGGGGTAGTGGGGGTAGTGGGGGTAGTGGGGGTAGTGGGGGGGGGGGGTAATGGTGTGGGGGTAGGTAGTAGGTAAGAACCGTAAGAACCCGTCAATAATACTCGTTAGAACACAACCCCAGAGTATCGGTACGGTATGTGTACAGTTTAGTGGTTGAGAATGGACAATACAATCTACAATCTCGACTCATTACCCTTATTCAAATACATATTATGAACATATTTATAATGATATGTTTCTCCAAAACAAGCTTTAGTCTGAAAACATTCACGAGGGACGAGTGAGGAATTTCACACGGAAAAATTAACAAAACACATATTTTCAGAGCAGCAGCAAATATTTAAAGGTAAATATTATAACTTAATAATATTCAACAGATCAAGAGTAACTCTTACCTTAATAATATTGAACAGATCAAGAGTAACTCTTACCTTAATAATATTGAACAGATCAAGAGTAACTCTTACCTTAATAATATTAAACAGATCAAGAGTAACTCTTACCTTAATAATATTGAACAGATCAAGAGTAACTCTTACCTTAAGTTTGAAGACAGATAAAGAGTAACTCTTACCTTAAGTTTGAAGACAGATCAAGAGTAACTCTTACCTTAAGTTTGAAGACAGATCAAGAGTAACTCTTACCTTAAGTTTGAAGACAGATAAAGAGTAACTCTTACCTTCAGTTTGAAGACAGCCCAATGATTCATAACTTCTCCGATGATGTTGATGGCGTTCTCATTTCCCTCAGCTACAAGCTTGCTAGAACTGCACTTCAACCCGTCTATATCTGCTAACAGGGGATCTAGTCTCCTTTCTAATTCCTCCAGCTTCTTCAACCTCCCCTGTTAGACAACACATTATTTATACAGTAATTGATTACTTGGCCTGGTCAGTAGGCCGCATTTTGTCCATTTGGCTGATTTCGGTAATTTGAGACAATCAGCCAGTTGTACTGAGAATATTATGTGAATCCCAAATCCCATGATAACATCCATTAAATAACACTGACGAGTCATAAGTGCTATTTAATAAATGTTATGACCTGTTTTGAAATAAGTAAGTTTCACACATTTCTCACATTTCAATTAGCATGGCCACGGACTAATAAGTAATAAAATGGACTGATTAAAATGAACTTACTAAATGGTAAATTATCTACGGTACAACTACAATTGGTCTCATTATTCGATTTTGGCAGTAGTTTGAAATCTAGGCGTGACCAGGCACGTAGCCAGGGGGGGGGGGCTGGTACGTAGCCAGGGGGGTTGGTGCGTAGCCAGGGGGCTGGTACGTAGCCAGGGGGGTGGGGGGCTGGTACGTAGCCAGGGGGGGGGGGCTGGTACGTAGCCAGGGGGGGGGGGGGGGCTGGGCGTGACCAGGCACGCAGCCACTACCTACCTTGATAACCTCCAGACTAGTAGTGATATCATAGAAAGGTGTCATGAACTAACCCCCCCCCCCCACTACTACCCCCCCCCCACCACTACCCCCACTACCTACCTTGATAACCTCTAGACTGGTGGTGATATCATAGAAAGGTGTCATGAACTAACCCCCCCCCCCCCCACTACTACCCCCCCCCCCCCCCCCCCCCACTACCCCCACTACCTACCTTGATAACCTCTAGACTGGTGGTGATATCATAGAAAGGTGTCATGAACTAACCCCCCCCCCCCACTACTACCCCCCCCCCCCCCCCCCACTACCCCCACTACCTACCTTGATAACCTCTAGACTGGTGGTGATATCATAGAAAGGTGTCATGAACTAACCCCCCCCCCCACTACTACCCCCCCCCCCCCCCACCACTACCCCCACTACCTACCTTGATAACCTCCAGACTGGTGGTGATATCATAGAAAGGTGTCATGAACTCCGCTTCTAACGTTTCTAGATATGCTCTCAGTTTATAACCCTGCTGTTCCAACTTTCTGATCCTGAAAACAAACAGTGTTATATCTTTATATTAGTATTCAACAAACAGTGTTATATTAGTATTTATGTTTCAACTTGAAGTGATGACCGTAAGTTGGTGATGGAAACAATGTTCATATCATCATGACTCAGATCGCAAAGTAAAAACTTGGTCTGTCCCTTGAGTTTAATGTATTCTTCTCGAATGTTCCCTATAAAAATAACATAATTAAAATAGTGAGTGCTAAGTATGCAAGTATGTTGCGTTAAAATGAAACATGTAAAATGTAACATAAGTACATTCCGTCCGAATACATTACACCACAAGTAATAGTAATAATACTAATAGTATTACACAGTGCTGGATATGCTCCAATAAGAACGGAGAACACTACTACTAGACAGGGTACTACAACTATACAGCTTTCTAATAGTTATTGGTTGGGTACGTTCCAGATCTGTATTTAGTAGTGCTCAATATTTGGTAGAATAATATTTAGTAGTGCTCAATATTTGGTAGAATAATATTTGTGTTTGACCATGTTGGCTAGCGCTGACAGAGACTTACCTTAATTAAATATTAATTATACTTCACACCAGTGCAGGACATTTACTGTATCCTCGTACCAAGTCACGTGTTGTGACGTCACATGTTGACTGTATGTTCCTGCTGTTGTTGGCACTGTTCCAGTGACGCTGTCCTACTGACCCAATAATATCCACCACTCAGCTCACACAGCTGACATGCACATTACTAATATAATAATAATAACTGTATTTCACGGTTAATTATGATTACTACCCTATACTTGACTGATAAGCCTTGCTCTGTAAAATAGGTGGAATATAGCAGGTGGTATTATACTGAGGTGGTTGCAGATCAGACCAAACAGAACGTCTCTCCCACCCATTAACCTGACAGTATAATTACATGTGGTACTTAAAATGGCTTTATAATTGGTTGTACACAGGGGGTACACAGTGCGGTTGCTTTACAGTTGTACCACGGCAGAAACCTGTCAAATGTAACGACGTGTCGCTAATTTGCGAGATAACATCTAACAGGTTCAGTAAACTGCAGAAAATAACAGTTTGTGAGAGTAGGAGATGTGATCTCCTACACTCCCGTACAAATGGGCGTGAACACGCCCATTTGTACGGGAGTGTAATGTGTTAATATATATTTAGAAATTAGTAGACCCTATCAATAACTATTGTTGTAGTGTAGTTCCCTAGGGAGTAGTTTCTACTAACACTATCTCTAGTACTACTATTATAACTACTACTAGTATAGCAGTAGATAGCAGCTGATATTGGTGTACTGAAGAAGGCACTCAGGCTGTACTGTATTGTGACGTCACGTGAGGGATTGTGACGTCACGCTACTAGTATAGCAGTAGATATTGCTCATATTGGTGTACTGAAGAAGGCACTCAGGCTGTACTACAATAATGACATATAAAAATACTAAACTATGTTATTTGATATAATACTGCTGGATAAAATATGAAATAGTGGGTAGATATTACCATGAGATTTGTGAAAAATAAAATGACAATTACTGAGATTGTGAAATCACGTGAGGGATTGTGACGTCACGTGAGGGATTGTGACGTCACGTGAGGGATTGTGACGTCACGTGAGGGATTGTGACGTCACGTGAGGGATTGTGACGTCACGTGAGGGATTGTGACGTCACGTGAGGGATTGTGACGTCACGTGAGGGATTGTGACGTCACGTGAGGGATTGTGACGTCACGTGAGGGATTGTGACGTCACGTGAGGGATTGTGACGTCACGTGAAGGATTGTGACGTCACGTGAAGGATTGTGACGTCACGTGAAGGATTGTGACGTCACGTGAAGGATTGTGACGTCACGTGAAGGATTGTGACGTCACGTGAAGGATTGTGACGTCACGTGAAGGATTGTGACGTCACGTGAAGGATTGTGACGTCACGTGAAGGATTGTGACGTCACGTGAAGGATTGTGACGTCACGTGAAGGATTGTGACGTCACGTGAGGGATTGTGACGTCACGTGAGGGATTGTGACGTCACGTGAAGGATTGTGACGTCACGTGAAGGATTGTGACGTCACAGAATAGGTATGTAACAGTATATTCACTTGGTAGAAGTAGTGTGAGCGGCTCTGTAGACTTGCCACATCCCACAGGTAGCATTGTAGTGTGACGTCACGTGAGAGAGGTGTGACGTCACGTACCGCTCAGCTGCTGAGTACTGCTTGTTCGACGCTAGCAGCTTAATCAGGTGCTTACTGTCTTGTTGCAGCCCGTTATACAGCTCCGTTAGTACCTGGTCAGATAGGGCGGTTAAACTCCACGTGCTATTAAAGCTAAACCAGATCCTTTCTAAGAGAGCTTGAGTTGGCTGATGTTTGATCGATAAGCCAAAACCAGTGTTAAAAAACACTGTCAGAATAAACTTATCTTAAATACACCATTACTTCGGACCTGGAAAATAAATAAATAATGAGGGAAGAACTATTATTTAGTGTTCTCATATTTGAGATGTGTTTGGTAGCCCTATTTGGATAGAAAGTATAAAGGTCTATAAATACTAAGTTGCCATGGTAACTAACCTCCCCCTGTCTCTGTAACTGTACTAGCAGCTCTTGGCTAGCTAATCTGCTTTGTTGCTGTTCTATTGCTGACTGCCAGTTCGTCAACCACGCTTTTACCTGCAAACATGTATTAATTAAGTTAATATTAGTCACGTGACATTTCACCTGCAAACATGTATAAAGTTAATATTAGTCAGGCGGATAGCTTTTACCCTTTATTTCTTATTTTGCAACCAAACTGTTCAAAATTTGAATTCCAAATTTTATCCTAAATTATTCTCTTCGTGTCAACTTATCGGTAATTGATTTCACTGACACATTTTACCACAATGATGATTCTAAGAGATTCTAATAAGAGATCCCTGTTCCACGCCATAAAGAATATATAAAATGCCGAATTTGTTCAATAATTACATTCTCACGGCACGAGTGGAGAGGCAACATGCCGCATTGCTCAGTGGAGATTTAATAGGCAGTAAGGCAGGGAGCTTTTCCTTGTCTTATTATAGCGTGTACCAGTAATTGGTAAAATGTAGCGAGAGTGAGTCGTGTGCAGTGATGTGTAGTGGTAGTGTGACGTCACGTGAGGGATTGTGACGTCACGTGAGAGATTGTGACGTCACGTGAGAGATTGTGACGTCACGTGATGTGCTGCAACTTTTACACTTCTCTCAAACATTCTTACAGTTATAAACCTGCTCAAGTGGAGCATGGTATACACTCTGGGTAGAGGTGGCGATCACATACCATCCTGATTAGTAGTTTGTAGAATTAGTAGTTTGCAGAATTAGTAGTGTGCAGAATGATAAGCTCAGTAAATACTCAGGTGAAATAATGTTTATTTTAGTAGGTCCAATCACACGAGTCTGATATCAGTATACCAGGGGTTAAGAGATGGGTTTTAGACAATAGAGGACTTCTATAAACTACATACTAAACACTCTAATTTTAAGAGCGTTTACTTCTACTTAGACAGCGTCAACATCTTCTTAATACTCCTATACTTATGACAGTACTGCTAAAACTACGTCATCGTAAGACGATTACGAGATATGGCCAAATTGATGCATCGCTAGCCATGTGGATTCTCACATCTGAGATTAAAATAGGTTGAAATACTAATTACTAATTGCTAATTGGTTTTCAGTCTGCTAGAACTGTAGGACATGCAGATTGCAGATGACACGTGATAATAGCCAGTTCAAGCGGAACTCTTTCTAAAGGAGCTTATACACTACCAGTTTCTAAATGTGTGGATCTTACAAATTATCAGTATTTCCAGCCGGACATAGGTTTGTTACACCCAACAATCATTACAATGTGTAATGGGAGTACCGCTACAATGTGGGAGTGTAATGGGAGTACCGCTACAATGTGGGAGTGTAATGGGAGTATCGCTACAATGTGGGAGTGTAATGGGAGTATTGTATAGTAGTTACCACACCAAACGTGTGTAAATAGTAATGGCATAAAGGGACCCTGGATCTGAACATGAGAACACTGTTGACCTACCTATCTCTCTATATAATATATCACTGTGATCTGAGATATTAGGGGGAGCGGCTCTTTCAAGAGGTATAATTATATTAGTACTATAGTGCTAGTAGTGTATTAATTATATTAGGCAGCTTCAGACTTGTAGATCTGCTGAATATCTAGTCAGTAGAGTAGTGTAGTAGTAGCACTACTGTACAGTACACAATGTATCCTCTGGTTATTGTTGGTGATTAATATTTCAAATAAGTAATAATAGAAACACAGACGAGGATCAACTGTTTTCTCTCCCACAATATTAATCACCTCTTGACAGATAGGATTAAAATATGTTTTCTCAGGGAAACCCCTCAGGTAAAACCCTTCATCAGGGCTAGTAAGGGATTGTGGAGGTCATGGCAGCGCGACTCCCTCTTCACGCAGCGCCTAGCATCCTGTCACAAGTAGTAGCGGCCTTGCAACCTGTATTTCCCGTTGTCGTACAATATGATCCCTGCTGTTATTGTTGGAGTCCACACTACTATCTGTCACTGTCTCAAGTAATGGTACGTGATGGTACAACACGCGGCACATAGTGAACACTGATAGTGTGGACGTGATGGTACAACACGCGGCACATAGTGAACACTGATAGTGTGGACGTGATGGTACAACACGCGGCACATAGTGAACACTGATAGTGTGGACGTGATGGTACAACACGCGGCACATAGTGAACACTGATAGTGTGGACGTGATGGTACAACACGCGGCACATAGTGAACACTGGTAGTGTGGACGTGATGGTACAACACGCGGCACATAGTGAACACTGGTAGTGTGGACGTGATGGTACAACACGCGGCACATAGTGAACACTGGTAGTGTGGACGTGATGGTACAACACGCGGCACATAGTGAACACTGATAGTGTGGACGTGACGTACTCTAATCCTGAGTACGGAAACTGATGCTGATCAATGAGAGCACTCTGTCTTATCAAGTATTACAAAGTGCAGGTAAATAGCCTTTATGTAACTACATCTGATCACTATAGTACGTAACCAGTAACCAGGCGAGGTGTTTACTAGAAATATTACTACAGTACGTAACTACACATAGGTGTACTGTGTAGTATAGTAACCACTACACACTTTACTAGAAATATTACTACAGTACGTAACTACACATAGGTGTAGTATAGTAACCACTACATACTTACTAGAAATATTACTACAGCACGTAACTGCACATAGGTGTAGTATAGTAACCACTACATACTTTACTAGAAATATTACTACAGTACGTAACTACACATAGGTGTAGTATAGTAACCACTACATACTTACTAGAAATATTACTACAGTACGTAACTACACATAGGTGTAGTATAGTAACCACTACATACTTTACTAGAAATATTACTACAGCACGTAACTACACATAGGTGTAGTATAGTAACCACTACATACTTACTAGAAATATTACTACAGTACGTAACTACACATAGGTGTAGTATAGTAACCACTACATACTTTACTAGAAATATTACTACAGTACGTAACTGCACATAGGTGTAGTATAGTAACCACTACATACTTTACTAGAAATATTCTGGGAAATTGGGAGACGGACTCAGCTTTAGACGGGACAAATTGAGCTGTTGATAAAGCAGTGTATTAACTCACTAGCACACGGGAATCCTGATTTGTCTATCATAATTCGGTGAACTCGGTAAAATGGGCCAGAAACCCTGTAAATATTTAATTAACACTCAGTGAGGATATATTTACTTATTTAGTAAACACTATAACAAGGTAGGATAATATTCAGTGTTAGAAGCCTTAGCGAGTTATTAGCTAGTTATAGTCTTGATTTAGGATGTTTTAAGAGTACGAGAATATCAACAAGTTTAGAGCAGGAGCCAGGCTATGTGTGGATATTATAGATGATATGTGAGAGAGCAGGTGATATGATGTGTCCAGAAAGGTATTCTTCCTCTCGACTGTGTGTTTAGCTTCTCTGAATCTCTCGGTTCTATATTTCTGTAATCACACAATGTTTACCTGTTATATTTACTGCCTTAACACCATGATAACCATTCTCAGGGGCCCTATTTACATCTGAATAATGAATTCCATGATATTTGAGTTAAAAATGAGGGATGATAATGTAACAACTTATTATTTCTGATACTTGTAATCACAGTGACCACGTCTTGATGTACAATTAGATAAGATAATTAGAAGACAGAGAAGCATATTAATGCTGTGATCACGTGACCCTGATCGGCTTGTATCACAGTGACACTGTGTCACTGTGTCACTGTGTCACTGTGTCACTGTGATACAGTGACACAGTGACACAGTGACACAGTGACACAGGAACCGGGAACGTGTCCTACAATAGTGCTCGAAGTATAGCTTTTTGTGCAATATCTCCCGGCGAACTGTCAGAAAAACACTGAAATATTGAAATAGTGATATTGATGAGTAGCTCCAGTACATTAGTTTCTAGTACGTAGTTTAAGAGACCACTGCTTTGTTTATCTTCACTCACTAATATTACCTGTTAGTAATTTAATTCTGCAATTATTGTACCAGTATAAGATATATTCATGGGGAGACACACATTACCTACACACAGTATCACATTCCTTCAGGTTACTTTTCCTTTAGGAGCTATTCAGAGAAACCCAGCGTTTCCAGGGTTACGTGGTCACTGTCAGGCAGCAGAGAAGTTACGTGCAAAAACTTATTATATGCGAAGCAATATGGAGGGGGAGTCGGTCACATTTTCCGCATTATATCGCATTTTGTCGCGCTAAAATGCGATAGAACCCTCCCCCGTATCATGGCTAACTTATCTCACGTCATATAGGACAGATAATAATTTGGTGACACACCAGCAGGACGCTGAAGTATTAACATTTAATTTGTTGTTGGACAGGCAGTATATTTAATATCATGTCAAATTACCCCCTGTAGTACCTGTGTGTAGATATGTCACGTGACTGCCCAACTGTCACGTGATCACACCACATAGTACCTTCACTTTTATAATATCAGCTGTGAACAACATTGGGTGATATCAGAGGAGAGGAAGGGTTTTAGGCAGGATACACACTAAACTAGGTCCTAGGAAGGATACTCTGATACTATAAATAAGATCAAAATATCTAAATAACACATTAACAAGGTCTGATAGTTAGGAGAGCAGCTAGGAGAGCAGATAGGAGAGCAGCTAGGAGAGCAGCTAGTAGAGCAGCTAGGAGAGCAGCTAGGAGAGCAGCTAGGAGAGCAGATGGTAGAGCAGCTAGGAGAGCAGTAGGAGAGCAGCTAGGAGAGCAGACTAGGGAGCCAGCTAGGAGAGTGCAGTAGGAGAGCAGCTAGGAGAGCAGCTAGGAGAGCAGCTAGGAGAGCAGCTAGGAGAGCAGCTAGGAGAGCAGCTAGGAGAGCAGCTAGGAGAGCAGCTAGGAGAGCAGCTAGTTCCACACACTCTAGTTTGACAGGAAGCCTCTGCTACAGGAGCGGCTAACTACTGAGAACTATTGTGGGAGAGTATTATAATACTCCCCCAGTGTGTAGCCGACACAGTGCTTTCTTTAGCTCACAGGTTTAGTTATTTAAATACTTAATTTCTAT